GTCCCCAAGCACGTCCTATTATAGAATAGCCGAGGCCGAGTATGAAGAAGACTTGTGCAATAAAACACGCTTGACTGACCAATCACAAGCCAGAACCTCACGTCAGGCGCAGCCCATCTAAGTTCACCACACTGGCAATGCTGCCCATTATACATCCTTTCTCAAGCGTGTCCGTCTCTAGTTGGCTGCATATCTTTTTCACATGCCAATGGAAGAAAAAGGGACAGATGACTGGCTGAGGCCAGCCTGGCTCAATATGTCTGCGCCCATAAACGTCGCTAATGTAGAATACCCGAGCTTTAATAGGAAGAGGACTGGTACAGCAGAACAGGTTTTATTGACCAATCACAATCCACGACTACATGTCAGGCGCCGCCCCTTTGAGTCCACCACGCTGGCTACGTCGTTCAGCATATACTGCTCCTCATTTGTGTCTGTTTCTGGTTGGCTGTCCATCTCCTTCGCATGCCAGAGGATTGGCAGAGACTAGCGTGGTCCAATATGTCTGCGCCATTATGCGTCGTCACACTACAACAGCTCTGGATGTGGCTCGATGATGCATTTTTAACTAACGGAGCGTTCTGTTGCTCATTTCAAAGCAATTTTATTTAATCCATGCTAGATACAAATGTTGAGCCCTTTTAAAGAGTCGAAGACGTGTTGAGTGAAATTCAGTTGCTGCGTGCACGATTTTTGCCAACTACTCCAGACTCGTGTCTTGTCCTGGTGGAACACTGAAGTGCAATGTCAATGTTGCCACAGCGATTAACGATTTTCAACAACGCTATTGGTGTCTCACACACGTCATTATTGCCACCTTCGATATCGAAAATGGTCAGATTGGTTTAAAATGTGGCCATGATGATGACTGTGATAAACCAGACCTCATTTGGTCGCTGAATGCACACTTTTACACGACAAAACTGTCTTTATCTCAAAATTAGTGTCATCTTGATACTTAAAACGGATTTTTAACAATTAAACATGCTTAGGTGAGTGTCAAACTTAATCGGATAACTTATGTGAGCTGTGCGGGTGTTTCCATTCACGTGATCGTTTGATGACCTTGTACTCACAGTACTCTACCTGTGACTCAACCTCTTTAACCACACAACGACCTGTTGAAGTCTTCTTGGAGCTGATGCAGCCAGTATTCTTAAAACGACAGAATACGAAGCTCCATGCATTTGCGAATTCTAGCATGATTGGAAACCCACTGAGCGGAAAAACAAAATCTGAAGTAGCAGAGTGTGAGGACCTGTTATCGGTTCAACGTAATTTCTCTGACATTTGCTGCTTTATTGAATCATGGAGATTAACGTCGATGTTGTGTAAGTCACAGTATCTAACACCGGTAGTCTGCAACTCAATCTACAGATTCTAGGAGCGTCGAGGTGTGAGAGGCGAATCACTACTGTTTTCTTCGGCACGTGCATCTCCAAGTAAAAGACGTCCAGATTCAGCTGAAGTGGGTCCTGTGGCATTCAGTGGTACTTGACTGTCTATCAGAAAACTTTCAAACTGCTTCCAGTACCATTCTGATGCTGCAGGAATGAACGAGGTTAGTGACTTCACAGAGCTGCAAATTGCAGTGGACTCCTCGTAGGCCTTCCAGCCACGTTAATGGAAAATATCGTAGAGACTAGGAACCCATTCCATTAAGCAGTTACAACCTGTTTGAGAACATCATCTGCCCATCACACCTGCGGAAAAATGTCTTCTTCTATTAAGAGGTGGTGATGTCCACGACTGAGATATCGTTAGGCGTATCACCACTTCGGTACAAAACACTCATGAGGTGGTTTGTATAGATTTCTGGCCATCTTAAGAAGTAACATAGTTCGAAAACATCTCACCGGTGTTCCCAATGAAGGAGTGCCAGTTATTTAATTGAAATTTAAGTCAACGTTGCGGTGAGGTTTTGTGACGGGGGGTCCACATACTCCACAATTGTCGTTAGGGTTAAATTCTATTGGACAGTTCATACACGGTTAGAATCTGTTGCGAAAGGTGGTTGATGGGATGCCAGAGACATCATCCACTGGAAGGTTTTGAATCCGCAGACTTCAGAGACGTCCACAACTAATTGATCAAGATGGTTTTCATTAACCAGCGTGATAACACAAGATTTTATTTCGATGGCACTTCACCTTGAAAGTGCCTGGCAGTGAGATGGAATAGATCAATTAAGCGTGACACGAATAATTATGACGCGTAGTAAATGACACCACATTTAAGCGCGTCCTTTAAAATAGCATGTCAGTTTGCGCACACGACCGCTTAAATGGCTTCAACCAATCGCAGCAAAGGAGTCAGCCATGACAAGACTCAATCACTCCGTTTTGTTGGTAAAAATTACCATAGAACTGGCACGTCTTTCGGGCCGCAGATATCGAGGGCATGGTAATATAACTTCAAAAAACACATGTTTTAGGTATGTGGGTGGCCTGCCAAAAGGTTTCGGCGTTGGTTACATGCCATGTCACGTGACATTCGCACCCTTAACCAATCAGAGGTCGGGGTTTTGCATTAACGCCCTTTTTTATCACTGAATGTGGACATGAGAGTGTTTAGGGCGTCGTGCATCAGCAAGAGTAAACAAACAGGCTTAACAAATAACGGTGGCGACGACTTGAAAGGTATCCGACTGCGGCATAATGTCAACAACACAACCGGAAATCGACGTATAAGGTTCGTTCCTTAGCTTGCCAGAGCCAAATACCCACCACATTCTACAGATATTTTCCTGGAAGTGGCAATTCAGAGTGAATAAGCGACGTCACGATGCCTCCACCCTTGATATTGTCGTCTCTTAATTGGACAAAATTTGGTATCACCGGCGTAATTTGGCCGGTGGTGTTCACGAATAAGAATGTGCGTGGGCTGACCGTACCAATTCAGCACAGTTTCAGCAGAAAAGATGACGTCTTCCACTGCAATTACTAGGCCCATGAAGTTGCAGAACTCGTTCAAGGGGTGGCGAAGCTTTCTAGTATGTACTTCAGAATCGTGGGTGATTGGCACAATTACATCAAGTTGAAAGTCATTCGATGAGATCAGCTGAATGGAACGCTACAAGACCCAATTAAACTAAACAAGAATGTCCTTTAGCTGGAGAAGCACTTACTGATAAAAATGATGGCGATGCCGAACAGAATTCTTGCAATCATCGCTCTTGCATCGATATTCCAGGAGTTGTTGGATTGTGTCGCAGAACATTGATGTTTAGCGCCGTTATGTACGCAAGCAAGATGCCCCGATGTCAGTTAGCAGTGAAATTGCGTGTTTGCCTTCAGCTAATTCAATTTGCGTTCCGATTTGCAGATTTTAATAAGTGGAAAATGGTCAAATACCTGGAGTCTTGAGCTCCACGGTGTTAGAAACTCTGCCGTAAGCTCCAAGAATACTTCGACAGGCTATCTAGTGGTTAGGGCCGATGAGTCACTCGTAGGGCACTGACTCATAGATAAAATTCCCTTCGCGATTTCACTTCTAAACATAAATACGATTAAATCGACCGTCGCTGGTTTCTAATCATAGGAAAACACTTCCTGCTCACCACAATGCCTGATTAAAATTGTCCTTTTTTACTCTGAAAAAAACTTGGCTTTCAAAGAGCAGGTAGTAAAATTAAGGTCAGCATTGCATTCAGCGAGTTTACTGGCTTCGTGATAGGCTAAAAATTACACACGACACCAAAATTTCAATAACAGGTAAGAATACAGTGATTCACACGCAGGGCTAAACTCATGTAATATTAAAAGAGGAAAGTCATGCGTCCTATAGAACGACCACATTTGGTTTCGTGATTGCAAAAGCGAGTGTAACTGGATTGAATGCTTTGGATTCTGCAAAATGTGATTGGTCAGTCAAGCGTGTTTTGTTGTACAAGTCTTCTTCATACTCGGCCTCGGCTATTCTATAATAGGACGTGCTTGGGGATCGGCATTGTGGATCACACCAAGCCCTGCCAATCTTCTGTGTGCGTTAAACCGACAAACCAGAAACAAGGGCAGATGCGAAACACTGTAAAAATCGCTTCGCAGCCAATACAGTGGACTCGGATGCCACATGACGGGCAGTTCTGGCTTCTGGTTGGTCATTAGATTCCGCTCAATTATACCACACACTGCAATAATAGGGCTCGGGTATTTAACACTTGAATTGGTTGGTATGGTGAGCTGCTTCCGTGGAAACAGCTAATCAACTCTAAGATTTAAGCCAGCAATTGGATTATGGTACATTTAACAAAATGTGGCCATACTTAGCGAATCACGGAGGAGTCGTGTTCCACCAGAGAGAAATACTGCTTCCATAAACATCTGCAGGAATTTATAAGTGTTCTTACTAATATACGGAAAAATTTGGTTTCGTGATTGCAAAAGCGAGTGTAACTGCATTGAACGCTTGGGATTCTGCAAAATGCGTCCTCGTGTTTGCAGATCTACAGGTAACAAGTTCGAACTACAGCGCTGATTGCTCTCAAAAGCACTCAAGGTCAAGGAGGTTGTGCGGCAACCGCCAACCACTCGTCAAGGTTACTTTCAACAGTGAAAAGAAAAACAGTTGCTATGGTTTCAGAGTTGCAGGCACGCGCCACAATCGAGCTGACAATTATGCGACGCGGATGAATTGTGATCTCGCCAAACTTTCAAAGCGCCTTAGCAACGTATCGATTTTGCAAGGTGCGCTGCGGTTTGGTTAATGGCACAGGGGCACATTCAAACAAGAGCCTGTAAGTGCGTCCGGGGCTGCACACGATGCCCTTAACGAGTCGTGCATGCCAGGAACGTGTTGATCACCTGAACTCGGAGTACAGCGGTTACTCGAACGTCCGCTCTACACTCTACACCTCAGCATGTGGTTTCCCCACCAAAATATCGACACGGTGGTGACAATGGGACAGCGTGTAGAAACGAGTGGTACCGTCATATATTGGGATTACACGGCGTATGGGTCAATTTCTTCAGACTTTTTCATCGCGATTACAAAGCGTGTTTAAATTGGAGAAATATTAACGCGATTTCTTGTGGTTTTTAAAAGGATTAGACGCAAGGTGTTAGAGAACTGAACGACGAGACTGCGTGAATTACATAGCCCTCAGAATAGCAGAGCGTACGATGGCAACTGATGAACAACACATCCGGTGGCGCCGTGTTTGATACGAATCACAGGAAGAAAATCGTCTGCTTCTGATGCACGGGAGGAACCAAATTGAAGTGTTCTTGGTGTTGTCGAAGTTGTGTCTTATGAAGCGTGTAATTATTGGTACAAACAGTTTGGAGGTGGTGATGTTGATCTGAGTGACCAGCCGCGCCTCTGACAGCAGCCTCCAAACCTTGTAGACTCGGAATCGCAAGCTCTACCGAATGAAGACTCACGACAAACGCAGAAAGAGATGGCAGTAGCTCAGTCAGGAGACAACCAAACAGCCATTTCCAAGCCTTTGCACCAAACATGAAGAATTCAGAACGTGGAAGTTGGCTCCCCACGGGTGTTGAGTGAGCACGCGCTTTTCACTGCTTGCCCGTCGGCAACAACCAGTAGATGGACTTCTCGTGCGAGATTGTGACGGATGATTGAAGATATATTTTGTTCGAGAAATCTAAACGCTTAAAGGTGTCTTGGGTAGATCCCGACAACCCAGCACATCGACGAGGAAACAGGACATCTGCTTGAAGAAGGCTCTCCTGTGTATCTGGCTGGACATCATGGATGTACTTTGTTGCGACGTCTCGGAAACTGGTGACCAGACGGTGGCTGCACGACGCTGCAGCCGACAATTGAACAAACCGAGCGAAGAAGTTGGTCAATCAGGGAGGCAGACAAGTCATGCTGATGCTGCGTGACGACGCCGGACCACCTCACGTTGTTCCCACGACCCAGGAGACCCTCTTGAACTTGGGACGCGAAGTTCTCCCACACGAGGTACATTCACCAGACATGGCTCCCCATCCAACCGCTCTTTATTCCGATCAGTGTAGAACGCCTCAGTGGATAACCAGTTCCTAAACCGCTGCACGATATGCATGCATTCGTCGTCAGTGACTTCTTTATTGCCTCAAAGCCTGCAAATTTTTATCTCGCGATGGCATTCGCACGTTATGCGAGATCACACAAAGCGATGGAAAATATCTCCTTAATGGAGTTCATTGTTCTCTATTGCTTGTTCTAAATAAACTTGCTGAAAGACCTGTGTAAATTATGCGCCAAGTATCTGAGACAACGGGTGTATTAGTACATGTGGATCTGCCCTACCACGCTGAAGAAAAATCAGCTGAAGGATTTAGGGTGAATTGCTAACTAATTCGAAGCAATGGTAACTTGAATTGCCAGCTTGCGGCAGCAACAACACACCACTCGGGAGACACATGATTTGCAGATCATCAATAACCACGATCTCGTGTGTGTGGTTGAGCTGATCACTCACATTTTGTCAAGTGATTGAGATAGCGCCTTCAGGGTTGGGTGTTACCGCCTCCTTATTGTGATAGCACAGCAGAAATACACCAACCTTACACCAATAGAAAACTACCGAAACCCAGGAGAACGCGCAAATATGCTTTTTTCGCACATTTTTTCTACAAAATACTGCCACAAGAAATTACAGAGTAGAGGAGTGTGCTGCAATAAACGACGACGCGAAATTACGTGTTAAGACAAGCTGATATATAAAATAGTGCAAAAAGGAGAAGAAAAAAAAGCAACAAGATATGAGAAGAATCACAAGGATGCTTAATGCTTTTCGTGTCGAAGCCTGTGCATAAATCGATGATGGTGAAGGGTCCGCCTGCCTAGAGTTTCCGTCCCTGCACCGAGCGCCATCGACGACTCGGAGCCGTACAAGTTGTCCGAGCTCCTTGACAGCACCTCCGACAAATGCAGGCGTTTCTTGGCTACCTTTTGTACCGGCTCTTGAACCGCCCCACTGATGGGAATATCCTCGGAGACTGGTTCGGCGCGGAAGTTGGCGTTGGTGAACACAGAGGGACGGTGGTGAAACGCATGCGCTTCGGTGTCCGACGAGGTGGTCGACTCTCCGACCACCTCCGACAGATCCGCTGGATCATCGGAGACCAGCCGAAATCTTCGGTGAATGCCGATTGGGTTCATCTGGGGTCGCTGAAGACGCGTCGCCCAGGCGTTCTGAATTGCCGAGGTGATGAGGATCACAGACGCGCAGCAGTGGTAGCTCGCAAATCGATCAAGTAGGGGGAGCAGGTCGAACACCTTCTTGCGCAACTCCTCAGTGCTGAGACGAAGTTCCGCGTTGCCGGACCAAAGGAGGTCGTGATCAAATGAGAGTATAAACAAAATCCGATCGATGGCTGTAGCTAGGTCCACTAGGAGGCTGCCAACTTTGACGTAGACCCGACGGTTGTTGAGAGCAGTCACGCGTTGCACAAGTGCGCAGAAGGTATCGATGGAGGTCAGCACGATGCCTTGTTGCTCCACAGTCCCTCCAACGAACTGGCGCATCAGTGTGTCGGTGTATATTCGGACAACACAAGCGGGATCAGGATCAGTAGAACCGGAGGGTACATGGGTGGACAGGGAGGGGCCACTGTGGTTGTAGGTAAGGGTGGAGGGGTTGAGACTGGTCGCAGAGGAGGCCTTGGGAACCTGAGACTTAGAGCTCACATATTGTGTGGGAGGTGGTTGTGGAGGAGCATGGAAAATCGACGGAACTCGCAAATCGGGCAACTTTGAGGTGGTCCTTTTGATTTCGACATGTTCAGGGTAACGAATGAAGGCAGGAGCGAGTTCACACAGCTGGGAGAGAAGAAAAGAGAGCGATTCCAACGCACTGGCAGACTTCTGTTGCTCTGTAGGAGGAAATGGTTGCGAGCTGCGCCGTGATTGATTGGCCTGCTGTTGCTGCTGTTGCAGCTGGTGCTTTGGCTCAGTTTCCAGTGATGAGGCCTTAACTAGGTAGGTATTAAGCATGCTCGGAAGCAGAAGGGTGACCAACAGCTTCACCTTCTTATCTCCCGACAGGTAGGAATCGTAAAACAGACGACAAAACATGTGGATTTCATCGGGAGGGGAAAAGTCGTTCAAGATTTTCACGATGCCCTCTACCACCTGGACATCGTACATGAGTTTGGAGCTCTCGCGAAGTTGGTCCTTTGAGAGGAAGGGGTAATTCCGAAGCCGTTGGAAAAGGTCCTGGATTTTGGACTTTACGTTCTACAGGATAAGGAGGCATGAGAGGCAGAAGAGACGGGTCACCAAAAAACTGGGCTTTGTTCATGCAATTCAAAAGCCACAAGAGCAGCGGCGGTTAGCATATTCGGTAGCACTATTTTTCGCCATGCATGCCAACACTGCATATCAAAAGAAATATTAATTGCCAAGCTAAGCAAGCAGACCTGGCCTATCAGCACTTCGGTCGATGGGTTAACAGTCGACACAGCGACCCCGGAGGGTGTGAACGAGGACATCGATTTTGGTTATTCACTAAGTTGCGACATCTCAACGTCAAAACATCGAAACAAACGTGGTCTGCGAATGCACTTTGAGCAGTAAGAAGGTCACCGGAATAATGCTCAAGCCAAAAAAGTCTGCTTTCCGCGGAAAAATCGCATATCAGGAACAGATGTATTGAATTCTAGTGATTGGTAATAATAAACAAGTACATTTAGGACCATATTAATACTAAACGTGGTGATTACTGCTATCTCGATTTCTTGGCACGCAAGAAACACTGGCTCGACCATAAAAACAATTCGAAATGCAATCCGATTTGACAATTTTAAAATTTAGATTTATTAATGAAAACAGACCTGAGAACAGATGTTTACGAAAGCTACCACCAAATGTAGTATATAAGCTAATTCCAAGTCCAGATTTTAAAGAGCTGTTAAAGCAACATGGACAAAAGCCATTGTTCTCACTAGATTTCGTAATTTGAGTTTACAGTTCGACCCCAAAGGAAAATATGAAACATGACACAAAATTATGCAAACCTTTCTACCAACGAAAAATGTTGCAGAATTTAGTATCAAACATTTCGCATCCAGAAAAGAGCTTACGTATGCATTTAGCAACACAGTAATTCCGCAAGAGTAACAAAGAAAAAACGCATAGGTGCAAAACGATAACAAGGCAAAGCAACAACATTACATTACGAAGCAACATTTCTAGATTAAAAGAAACACGATTGCAAAAACGCAATTTTTACAACGTGCATGAACTATGGTCGTACCTAGTTCGGATCAACGTGACGAGCCTGCAGGATTTAGCAGTTTGAAAAATGGGCTACATGTAAAGTAAATCGTAGGCAAACAATGAACACGTCATTAGGTAAATACAAAAATGCAGGCGGTGTAAATGCGTCATAGTAGCCGCAATAAAATGTTTACTGGTTAAACCTTAGACAAGTTGAGATATGACTTAAATCTTTGAAATGAAGCAAAGAAAGAAAAGCGATCCAACAAATAGAATGCGGGAACGACGCAGCAACGTCAAGCATTAAAGTACAACTAAAAAAGCTTTTTATTTGTCTTTAATGTTACCACATATTGGATTTTCAAATAAGGGTTTTTAAGCGAGTCACATTTAGCAAGTATAAACCTTCAGGCATTTCGGGTTCACATTAAATCATTAAAAAAATAAGTTTAAAGATTTAATAAGACATTAAGCAAGCGGTTAGCAGTAAATTATGAGTAAAAAATCGACTCTTCAGAACAATTAATCAGCACACCTGCCCCGAATTCATCACACTCGCATACTGACAACATGGGTTAAAAGATGCTTCTAATAAATTAGTGACCTCTTTGAAAACCAATGAAAGTTAAGAAAACATTCTTTTTGGTAAAATAATTTAAATACATCATAGTAAAATGATGCAGAGCAAAAGGAAATGCGTAAATTCAAGAGGATCACCACCAACGACGTAATTTCGCTCCAATTAATGATTCTCTCCATAAACGTGCGTATTATGCCACTTTAATGAAAATACATAAACTCCAGTATGACAGTGTGATAGGCCGTTGTTACCTCATAAGCTTAGACAGTTTTTAGGTTTGTTATTGCAACATCCGCAAAATAGATTTATTGAATAGCAGCGAAAAGACATTTCTGATTCTACCCAAGGGTCACGTGCTGAAAATTATTGCCGATGATAAATGTCCATTTCTTAATGAAGACTGAAACTTAGAAAAGGGACTTATAATACAGAGCTGTGAAAAACTTCAATAAAGGCCTTAGACCATTGAGCAGTTAAGATTACAACTATATTCCATAGGAAAATAAAGTACGATTGAACCACTATATGTTTGAGCAAAATAGCTATAAAAAGGCTATCAATAGTTGTAAATTAACTTGAAATGAATCAAGAAATTGTCATTCAAATGTTGTAATAATTAATACAAGTAAAATGAGCAAGTCCACAAGAAAGGAATCCATTCCAAAATTTTAAAAAAAATAGAATTTTATGTATACTGTGTGGTTTCTTGAACTGAATGTTGAAACTGTTTGTGTAACGACGGTACCAACAAGTTTCTAAGCTTTTTCTCTCTAAGCTTGTAGTAGTTTCGTTAGTATTATTATAGAACCCTCAATTTAGCTGTCTTTAGTAAGTCAAGAAATAAATGTGACAAGCGATAATGACTAAAAACATTTATTAGCGTTAAAAATACAGGCCTTTCGGTGTGTTCGATGAGTGCACATTCGTGACAAGAAATAAATAACATTGAATGATGAAAAATCGAAATGAATACTGTAGGCAAGCTTACGTATAATCTCTGGCTGCACACTTTAAACATTCCCTCCATCCGAGAACGTAGTCTCTCATATTATTGAACCGAATTACCGAAACGGACTACGCGTTTCAGGGGTCAGCCAAAACGAGCGTTTGGGCTCTGTGGGGATTCGAATGAGTGCAGTGTATGTTCATAATGGCTTGGGTATGGCAAAGGAACATTGCAGTCATCTGTGTAAGCAACTTTATATTGGTAAAGGCAAAAGGTTTCAGGTGATCCATTTTTGTCTGCTGTAAAAATATCGGTGCGTTTTACCACCTTATCGGGTACTTGTAAGGATATTTAACGACATCGTCATGTGCAAAGAGAGTGGGAAAGCGATAAAGAAAAGTGTCCGATTTTTTAAATATGGTGCTTGTGAACTTAGCTGAGTGTAGACTTTAACCCATAATTGGAGGTTTTTGCAAATAATGTGTAAAATATAAAGGTCCATCACTAGGTACACAGTAGCACAAACGGCCTAATGTAATACCGGATAAAGTTACTCAAATTTCTAATTTGTAGATTTGATGTGAATTTATTGTTGAGTTGTGCCAAATGACAAATTGCACGTAATATTCTGGAGCATTGGGAGAATGGCTCACCTTCTAGTTTTAAGGCAGAATTATGACAAATTTGTCATATTTCAGTGAAAATTTGGCCGAGCTACAGTAAGCTATTCAAGACCAATTCAAGAAACTAAATGGTTGTGTCTACATACACCGGAAAGTGCATGCATCACGAAGTTATCGCTTTCATCCGCATTGCACACACTGGTAATAAAATATTGCAAAATACAGATCAGATTCTGCGTCAAAAAACGTAAATTATAAGCCCTGTATCGGTGTAATGGCGAAATCACGTCCATACAATTTGAAATGTAATTTTTTCTCAGCAGGATATATTGCAGAAAATTCTGCATTTTCTAATAAAGAGAGTCAATGCTAGCTCAAGTTATTCAGAATATAGCAATAATAGCTCAATATGGCCTTTTGGTTATTGCTAAATTACAAGGCCCATAACAGTTTGGGAAGCATCCGTGCGTAGGAGAAGCTTTACTTTCTTCTTTTAGTTGCACAGGGCATGACATCTTCCGCAGCTTAATATATTGCTTTAAAAGCTGATTTAGCCTCCTGCATATGCTTAAGCTTAATAGAATTCTTCTGAGGTATCATCTTAAAATCCATCTAGTTGAGAGGCCTCATTATGACAAGACGAGTAGCATGAAAAGCGACATCGAATACGACCGTTTATAAGCGTTATATAGGCCAACTGTACCATTGTGTGCAAATAAGTGCGCATTTGTGACAGGCAATGGATAACAGCGATTAATGAAAAATTATGTCGATTACTTGTAATCAGTAATCATTTAAGTAAGCTTTAGACGCAAGCAATCCTTGACAGTCTACTACATTAAATGTGTTTCCTATTTATTACTATACAAAATGTTACTTGGTCAAAAATATTTGATCACAAATATCGAACTTACTAGGCATCTTTTACATAATATGAATTCCTTGGGCAGAGGAAGTTTTTGAAAAAACTAGTTTCTGGATACTAGGTTTTTTTAGACTTTCACTGTCTAATCAAAAAACCGCACAATAGCAAAGTAAAGATATCGGGGGTTAAACAACGAATTACAACCTGTCCTGGTGTTATTGCTAAGGAGATTGCTGAAAATGTTCAGGAAAACAAAATAATATTAAGCGGGCAAAAGCAGCAGAATATTTTCTTCGTTATAGTTTGGACTTTAAAATTAAAAGTGTCTCAAAAAAGATTATTTAGTTAGTTAAAATTGTGCGAGTTCGATTTAAAATCAATCGAAACAGAATTAAAATGAGTTACTTAAGTACTGTTCCCTTCTAGAAGTTACCTGACACAAACACATTTTAAAAATGTTAATGGTATAAATGACGTGCCTAAAAATGGGGTATTGGCTCAAAGATAGTTTTTTTCTTTTATTAAATCTGCAAATTGATGTTGATGCTGTTTCGATCTTAAAATTTGTTCGTATTGACCCTCGCAGCTCCCAGTGTGTGGTTCGTGCGTGATTGGTTTATTGCTCGGAGAAGCCACAATTTCCTACGTTATTTCAAATAGGAAATAACATGAACGACTTTTTTGCTAGTCTACAGACTGTCAGTCTAACTAGTGAGAATGGGTGCACTTCTGGTCATCAGAATCTAATTAATTTAATTGAGCACTTCAGTACGGACAATAACTGGGAAATGTGTGCATCCTATGTGATTTCAGAGTTGGAGAAGTGTACGTCCCAGCAACAGGTCACGGATCTTCAAAACTCGGCTGCACACTTTGTTTGTTGCCGATGTATTGAGACTTTCCTCAAGTCACCGTAAGTGTTAAGTTTCCTTAATGAGTCGCCTAGGTCTACTCAGCCCATTTTGATATCAGAAGTTCAAAAAATGTCTGAATTTTTGAGAAAATGGGTAAAGCTGTATGCTTCTCTTCTCGGGGGGCAAGTTCAATCAAGTATTTTGAAGCGTAAAATCGCCCAGACTGTGTGCTTGGCTGTCATACGCTACTATCCAACCAGTTGGTCATCTCTTTTCGATGAGATGTTAGGATTATTCTCTGAACTTGATGGTAACTCCAATTTCAAACCTTATTCAAATTCTAGTACAACAATCAAATTCCCCATTTACTAAGTCTTGCCCCACCCTCTTGACGTTGCTGGACGTCTTCCTTGAAGTTCTGCAAGAACTGGACTCGTTTATTTTTAGTCGGCAAGTGCAACTTACTCCAGAAGAACTAACAAAGGCAACATTAATTAAAGATACAATGAGGGTCACATGTTTGCCATCAATAATTCAGATGCTTATTCAAGTTTTGGTGAGTTCGGCGCTACCACGTTTGTTTGTTGTTTTGCCTTCGCGTCTTATGCTGTTTTCTTTTTTCAGAAAGGTCTACAAGTAAATCAAGCTAGAGAATTCGAGCTTATATGCTTTTCATTGCAAGTCATTGGACTATACGCACTGTGGATTGACATCAAGTTAGTAGTTAATGAAGAATTCGTCAACATCCTGCGTACGCTCGTTCAATGCACAGAGCCTAAACTTCACCAAAGTCTATGTCTTCTTCTGAAGGGTCTTGTTACCAAAGGAATGGCATCGTTTCCCGACAAACTTTCTCTTATCCTCTCGTTGTGGCCTGAACTTTTGCAGCCACTACTTAACTCTCCTTGCATCGCGAAAGTGCTAGCATTTAATTCTCCTTCCCAAAATCCAGTAAATGGAATCGCTGAAGAGGATGCGGATGATGTTGTAGGCTTACTGCAAGAATTCTCTTCGCTTTTCGGAAGTGTGGGATATAATCTCACGGAGGCGTATCGGTAGGTTCTGTCGACTTGTTTCCTTAGAGCCTTGATTCGACACGCCAAAGCGCGTCTAAATTTCTTTCCATTTTCCTTCAGTGCCTTGGTTTTGTCCAACGCCCCAATCCCCTCAAACACAATAGATACCAGTGTCTTCTCCCAGCCCACTTCAAACTGGCAGGCTGCTGTCGACCAGTGCTTAGACAAATTGGAGGCTGTCGCAGACATCGCCATCAGTTTGCTCGCCTACTCTGACAGTGATGTTAGCCAAGGTGTAGTCATGTTCATCGGCGATTACCTTGGTCTCTTGAAGAACAATCAATTGGATACATTTCCCGCGAAACCACAAGCGAAGGCGGCCACTCTCTCGAATGGCGCGGGGGGGTTGTCTCAGGAGAAGAGCAAGGTGCTTCTCGACTTGACCTCCGATCGATTGTATCGACTTCAGCGCCTTCTCGGGATCTTGATGGAGAAAATAAAGTACCCCAACGACGCGGGAGCCGAAGACTTGGTAAGTCCCTATACTGTTTTCTCAAATTTAATCCTTCTTCATTCTGGAATCATGAGGCAATTACAAACTTGTTAAAGTGTAATTTCAGACGTTATCCGTAGTTGAGGTTTCAATATGGGAATGACGAACTTCTCGCGCGTTAGGTTGCTGGGTAAATATCCAACTGTTACACTATCGTACACTACCTCGTATCTGACTCGAAACCCATGTTAACTGTTTTACACCAAAACTACGTGATCACGTCACTTTTTAAACTCTTTTTTTACGCCGTAGGAGGAGTTTGAAGAGGACCGTCACGAGTATCTCACGATTGTGCGCAGCATAGCTCGAATCGATGGAGGTCTTGTACTTGATGCTATCCAAAGCTTTCTTCAGCACATCCTTCTCCAATTACCCACTTCAATGGGTGCCAAAGATGCGGGCAGTGAAGCCTTATCACGGCTGGAGGCCTGTCTCTTCCTCTTCTTCTCAATCGGAGAATTTTATAAGGTAACTAGCCGTTAATCTTGGCTTTACTGCAAAACCCCCTTTCGTGGACTCTTTAATCTTCTCCATGTCTTTTTTCAGGCTCCAAGGAATGATCATTTCGCTCAGGGCTACGTGTATAGTGCCAAAATGAACGAACTAATGACTAACATCTGTTGCAGTAACGTCTCCTCCATTGAATTTTTCCCCGTGCAGTTAGATTTCTTTGAAATAATCGGCCGCTACGACAAATTCTTCAACTCCTCCTCCAAACTTCTCTACGAAGTCCTGGTACGTCACCACCCTGCCTGGTACCACCCTCGTGTGCTCAAAATCTATCGTTTTTTGAAAAGTCAGCTAGGGTGTGCACTGTACCGCAACTAGCTGATTCACTATCGTTTTATAACTTTTCACACGTCCCGTCTTCCCTTCAAGGCTGCCTTCTTAGACGCGCGTGGTTTGCGGAATCCCAATGTGAAGGTTCGGTGTCGATGCGCCTACCTTTTCAGTCGATTCGTCAAGTCTCATAAGTAAGTCTTTCAATGTACCATTTAATTCTACCCATTGTCTCTCAGCCACGATGTCCTAGATTGCTAGTTGTGGAATTTAGGCCTTGTCAAATGACAGCCGCCACCATGTGTTGCTCTAATCTTACTAACATTCCTAATAATATGTCATCCTATCCCTGTGTTCAGTTTTCGCTTAAAATCTGGAAATATCGTTCTTATCGATCGATTACTGGGCTATGCATGGTCTGTTGGTAGAGTTCAACACTCATCCACTCGGCTGTTGACCACTGGAGGAGCTCGCCTTCTTCGACTAGGCGTATTTCGCTGGTTTGTTGATTGTGTGTGGTTGGACAGCTGTGTGTGTCGCAAGCTCACTGCAAGTCCACCTGCATTCACGCGTTGTTGCACGTGGCGCCTGTGTGTTTACATCGTCATCGCGTGTTAGCCAGTCTCTCTCAGTTCCTTATTCTCGTTTGTGCTCGCTCAGCCAACTTCCACACTTCCACGTGACTTGACAATCGACTTCTGAGGTTGCTGCGTAGCCTACGCGTGACTTTACCGCACTTTTGTACTGCTCTTGGACTCGCGATGTAACCGATATCCACGATATGACATGCCACGTGTCTAGACATTCCTTTCTGTGGATCACGTAATTCCCAAAATTCGGTCGAAAGTGTGTCCACAGGTTATGAAAAAATCTTTTCATGGGATCTAACCCTTAGATGAAACATTCTTGTGCTATTTCATACAGTAGATTTTAATCGATCTTGGTTAAACTGGTTTAAATCAATAAGCAAGTTGGGTAAAATGTGTAACCGTTGTAACTAGATCGCCAACGGTGTGTCAAAATCGTGAATTTATCCCTCTGCGGGCATTAAATCCCCTAATTTTTAACCTTAGACTCAGCGTCATCGCCTTGGTGATAGTTCACCAACTTTGATCGTGTGTCGTGTTATTTTCCCACATAACGGAATTTCGATATTGGTGTGACGTCAAGGGTGAATTACTGGCTGGTTGCACAACTTCTTATTCAAGTGACTAGTTTGTCAAGAATACAGTTTCCGTGTTTTGCAAGAATATACGTCTTTTAATTAAGACGTATATTCTTTCCGATCGCAACTGCGAGCACGCGTTAAGTTGCCGCTCGTGCAATCACACTTTGCGGCAGAAGCACGTTCACGTGACTAGCTACGTGAAGGCTGACTTGGAGCTGCCATACCAGAATTCGGTGTACATATCAAATCTGCTGTTTCTAGTTCCTACCACGATGCCCACGTGGCCTAGCAACAACTCCCAATCACCAGTGTTTACATGTTGTGTTGTCAGGTCGATGCTTGCGCCACACGCAGAACAAATCTTGCAGCAGCTCGAAGGCCTTCTTCCCCTCGACCCCACACCTCAAACACCGGAGTCTAAAGGCATCAACGGGTTCGCAAAGCCACCGTCGGTTCCCACTGCTACCGGAGGTGTGTGTGTGTGTGTTTTTGCTCCTCGTGCATCCACTCAAAAGTAGTCTTGAAGGAGTGGCTCAAGTGTGCGCCTACTTTTTCAGGTGGTTTGTTCTCCATAACTGAGCAGAGCTTTCTCTACGAGTCTTCAGCCAACCTCATTCTTGCACGACAAACCAATACCGAAGGTGGCCACGAAACAGCCCAATTGTTCGCCATGCTCCTGAGACCCATTCTACTCCAGTTTCCACAACTCGTCCGCCTCCTGGCCGGAGAAAAAGATCCAGAGTTGGCAGAAGCACGCGGCATTGTCGTGAAGCAAGCTGCCGACCTGATAACGTAAGCGCTCATGATGGCCAGTGCCACAGCGTGACTGCTCAACCTGTGGTCTAGACACGCCTCACTTTTTTTCCCTCCTCTAGTCGCACAACCCGCGTAATGTCCGCTCAGACCCCACCACAAGCCGAACTTGTTCACATCTTCATGGAAATCCTCAACGTGATGGTCGGCAGTCTGGCGCTCCTTCCAACCGCTCCAGGCTCGCCAGGTCGAACGTCGGCTTGTGCGGGCATTCGAGCCTTCCTCCACCGCCTCATCGGCTCCATCGGTCCAGAATGCAACGTGGTCGTCAAAACCGGTGTTGGTGGTGGCGGAGGTGGAGGTAGTGGAGGTGACGGTGTTAGCCAGGAGGGTAGTACCGCCTCCAACTTGCTCCTCCTAGCGTTATCGACAGTTGTGCCTCAGCTAATCGATGTCCACTCCGGTCCTTCCATCCCTGCTGGTGATCCCGACATTAGGTGGAGGGAACTGCGGGAGCATATGCCTCTGTTCTCCCAAGTCGCTGCGCGATATAAGGTGGTTTTTACGGAGAATGTGACTTAGTTTTAACCCCGTGGCAGTTTGTGTGTGTGTGTGTGTTTCGGCTGGGTTATGCACACTAGTCGGATCGGGCTGTTTACTACGCCGAACACTTGTCCACTTGATGTCTGTTTATTCATTGTTGCGCAGGATCGAGTCTTAATGCTTCCTCCACTCGACGCTAGATTTGGTGACTAGATTCGTCCTTTACCACACGTGCGTCCTTGAGGTGTCTGATTTGATTCACCGTACTGACGTAAACATTCCTTCCAGCTAAACACCAATTCCTCATTTTAATCTGGAACGGCGAGATCGTCGTAGGTTTACAAATTTGCTGGTTTTAAGCAGGTTGCCTAAGTTGGTGCATTTCAGCATCCAACCCTCTTCCGAGTCTGCAATGATAAACTAGCTAGGCGTGCTATCCGCTTCCAGTTGTAACCACCTGCGCATTTCTGGGGCCCGCTCAACCACCACTTGCATCAATTTATCGATTTTCGTACCTCTCCTTTCCTGTGGGTGCTTCTGGTGTGGCTGTCTATTGCTCATGGAAAGGGTTGCCGCATTTCTCGGAAACGTTACTTTCTGCGTTGCTATGCAAGCCCAGTAGTTTCGATTTTAAGTTGACCTAAAGATACCCTGTTTTAGGATCGCTCTGTGCCCTTCCTCACAGAGTGTCTACCGCCCCTGATCGCAGCCACCCTGAACGCCCTGGCAGAGCCCCTGCACGAGTCCCAGTTGGTCGCTATTGAAGAGCGAAAGTCCCTCCGACGAGGTCTGCTCCAAATGCTTTATGGCATCGGCCAGGTCCTGCCTCAGGGCGTCCTCGTTGCTCTGGGTTCCGACGCGGCCAGCGTAAGTCGTGATGCCTGGCGTCTGCAGTCGCTCCAGCGCATTCGGCATTCACCGACCCTGTGTTTGCTTTGCCGCCTTAGGTGCTCGCGTCGATAGTGAGCCTAATCGAGGCGTGTTTGGAGGCAGACGATGCGGTAGGCATGAAGGCGGGCTTCTCCTTCTTCGTCGGCTGCATCACCAACTTCGGCGGCGACGAGGCCTTCTACAAGGAGTTCCTTCTGCCCCACCTCCTCCCCTTGGCATTCCTTTGTCCCGCCAGACCCGCCTTCCGTCTCACCGACGCGCAATTTTCACTGGCCCTCAACGAGGCCGCCAGCTGTGTCTTCGCCATCAACTCCGCCAAGGTACGTGACTTTCGGGCGCCTACGTTGCCTCCGTGTGGGGTTCGCGAACTGACACTTTGTGCTTTCTGTCGTTTTGAAGGGTGAAGTCTTTCAGCAATACCTTCGTCAGAACTTCCTTCCCCAACAGAACCTCTCCACGCAATACATTGAGCTGTACATGAACAGGCTGCTGACAAGTAGCCTGCCCGAGTTTCAGGAGTTTGTCAAGGTAATCAGCTTTGCACAGACCACCCTAGCTTCGTCGCTGGCATAAGATCCCACTAAATTATCTTCCTTGTAGAACTTCTACTCTTCATTCCACTGAAACTCGGTGTTCCTCCGGCCTTCCCCCACCCACTCCTCCTCTCCCCTCGTCCTGATGCCGTCTATTGCGCTCTGTCGTGTGACAGACGTCCCTCTCCCGTCGCCCTCCCAACATTGTACAAAAAGAGCGCGTTACTGATTATTGGAGTTTTGAGAGAAGCGAACAACGTGGCCACTCATCCTCCTACGTTCCCGTCCCAGCCTCCCCAACCCTTATGCATCGTTGTATCCCTTCTACCAAATGGCGTCTACTTTGATACTCTGAATGCTTATTCTGCTGGATAGTTGATTTCTAACTTCGCGCTTGGGTTGTGGAGGAGCGGGAGTAAATGTGTGGGTTGGGGGGTGTGAGCCAGTGTTATCAACAAAATTCAATCGATCTGTGGGTCATGTGCACAAGGAATGCCTGTCGGGTAGACGCCGCTTCGGTTTCGTTGGTTTTTTATTGGCGTCTTGCCGTTGTCGTGGAGATATTAGGCTCTGAGTACCAACTAGCAAGTGAAGCTTCAAGTGGTACGCTTAGAAACAAGTCAAAATGTGACCATGCAATATGAGGGTTGAGGAGGCGTGCGATACCAAACTCCGGGACGAAGTTCCTCAGGTCGAAGGTGCGGTTGGGGTCTCGCATTGTCTTGGCGGAAAGTGATTGCTTTGAATTGCCAAATCTGGTCGGAATGCTTGACTGGCTCCTGTTTTGACACAACGGACAACCCATTTCAGAAAGAGACTCTTTGCGATTAAGTTGCTTGTCACAAAAAGTGCCCGCCTAAGTTATCTTCTTTCGACACACGTGGATCTTAAACAACAGGCCGGTGATTTGTAGTTGTACTTTTAGGTAGTCTAGAACCTCATCTCGATTATCGAGCCAATCACTACCACTGCTTTGATTTGGTCGGGAGCAGTAGCCATGAGCGTAGACGTCCACGCGCGTCCGGTTTGGCGAACGACAGCGCAACTTGGGAAGCGAAATTCGTTCCTGCGCTAGAAGTGGCCCTAACCAATCAGTTGGGAGAAAAATTCACATCAAACTCAAACAGCGAACGGCCCAAACGTGTACCGAAGATCTACCGTTTCTCTCATTTCTCTCGACACACTCAACTGACCATGATCCGATTTAAATTTGCTATCATAAACTACGGTAGGTAGATCAGAAAAACGTTGATTATGTATGAATGGAGCATCCCCAGAAAACGAATCCAAACGAGAGCGTAAACTGTATTTACGCATCTTGCACACCGAAATATTATTCTCGTCGCTACGGTACATACCTAAATTGTCGAAAACACCTGTTCCCACGCAGCCCCCACACTTAAATCGACCTTGAGCTAGTAGCTGAACGAAAAATTGCACAACTATTTTGAGGCGAATACCACAACAAGGGCAGGCGTTTTCCGCACGACTCACGCGGAGCGTAAGCTAAGACAAATCCCTCCCGGTGTTTGGTAATCGCCATTTGCAAAGATGATAGATGATTTATTAGATAGAGGTGAATTTTAGTACAATACTCCAAATCTTAGACGAGAATGAGATCTCCGAGTAGCTGCGGTAAGATGGTCCCGGCTTTCCCTTCAAAGTAGAATCTACAACACGAGAAAACGGGGTAAGGTAAGGCACATGGAAACTCCCAATTAGCTGGAATGGGAACTTGACGCACGAAACAGTCGTGGTGACGGGTGTAGGCTCCAGATTGACCTCGGCGACGGGAACTCCACGTCTGGCCGCGATCAGGGCCAGACCTGCGGCCGGGTAGACCACAGAACTGGTGCCCACCACAAGGCAGACGTCCGCTTCAGCTGCTGCCGCCTCGGCTGAACTCAGATTCACCGGGTCCAGTTGCTCACCGAACCAGACAACGTGTGGACGAAGTAGGCCTCCACAGTCCGTGCACCGGGGTAGCTCCGAAACCGGGATGGCTAGCTCGTTGGAAGCGTTCAGCGCGCTAAAGCAGTAGATACAATATGTGTTGCACAGCACTGGAACCTGGCATCAAGGAGATTTATCAAAGTCCAGACTCCGGTAGGGGCCTGGAACCACATGTTGGTGCCAGCTGTTGAAGACGACTCATTGCGGATTAGGAATTCGTTATTGTTCAGACCGTTTTGCTGATCACGCCACTTCAGTGAGTGAGTCACCGCGGCGATCTACTGACAGGTCATCTGCGTTAATTTGTCTTGATCCATCAGGAAACATTTTGACAGATTACTTGCCTTACATCAGTGTGGGAAGGTGAGGTCTAGCGGCAGACAAGGAATCAGGGGTACCGGATGTCCGAGTGCGTGGTTCTTGGTTGCGGACCAAACGTAAGATGTACAAACCGAGATTAAGTAGGCCGAAGATGGTGGAAGCATCACTGTTTACTAGGCGGCTCAACTATGTTGTTTGTGCATGCATACAAACTCACGAAGAGGATAGATGGGTGTGATGGAGGCTCAGCCAATAAGATTCGAGGTGTGTGAAAAGTGGGGCCCGTGAATCATTACTGTGTGACCGCATTACGAACTTGTGGGCTGATAAACGACTTAACCACTAACGTGAAAATCTTTATCGAATGCTCAGGAAGGATGCTAACACCATCGTGACAAGCAGTAACTAGGTGCTGTAGTGCTCAGCAGTGATGACCTACTTGAGGAGCCCTGCTTTCTGACGCATCAGATTCATTTCGATGTGTCAAACAACCCCAACGTGTGTTGGTAATGACAGCATTAAAGCCCTTAGATTGCGCCGATGGCAGAATTTGACCTCGAAATGATTGAAGTTTCTGCCACACCTCTCGTGTGTTTTCGCAGACCACTTACTAAACCAAACAAGTGGATGATGAAATCCGACCTAACGCTTGTCTCATATTGTGCAATCAAGGAAGCGTGCGTATGGGAACGTCACGAGACCAATGACGACATTGAAGCGAGGTAGAAGCGTGCGCGCTTTGTGGGGTTGGTAATGGTGTTTATGCGAAGTGGGTATTTCGGAAGAAATATGCGAAAACACAACCCACGGATGACTCAAGAGGTGTCGATGCTATCTAACCCCAATACTAGAGTGACAAGTTGACTGAAATTCGCATTTTATGCTTTAATACGAAGCTTTAGGACCGGAGATAATGGTGTGCAGTTAGCGCTAAGCAAGTCGTACCAAATTTTAAAGGCGTATACCCTACCAAATTGTAGATTACGCCTAGTTCCTCCAATATCACAGAGATTGGCCTTTTTCGGTGAAAACACGGACAAATGTGGAGATTGACACACGGACAGCATCTCCCCCCTAATAGCGTCAGCAGACCGTGTAAAAATTAAAGCAAGTTGAAGTAACACGTCTGGAAATTAGAGCATGCTGCGTTTACCGCAACTTTGGTGGCGTTTTGAGCATTGAAAATCAGTTCACCATGAGTGCCTAACGCGTATGTTCCAAAACTCCCGTTTCGCTTCAGCTGAACATTAAAAGAGCTTACATCCAGAGTGCTTTGGGCCATATCAAAGAAATTTACGAATGGACCATGTTTCGTCGAAGAAGAAGCGTGACTGTCGACGACTGTCTGGAAGCTAATGATCCTGATTAATTGAAATGGAACGGGTGTGCTGGTGATAGAGGTAACGTGTTGATGAACCGGCTCCTAACTTGACACCATAAGACCTTTTTCTGTGGGGTCATGCTGTAGGACTGATCTGCGTACCGCCACGCCAAAAATGCGTAAAATTCAGTAGGAGAATTACTCAAGCTCTGAAGATTTCCACAGAACATAGTTGAAGGCCCTGGCATGCAGTTGCAAACCACACCGAGGCCGCTGCGTTGTGCTGGCCCGACTGCGCTACTCAGTCATCCTGGAAGGCTAAGAAGACCGGCGATGGCCGTACACAACTGTTTACCAGGTGTCGCACACTCTTCGACGATGTAAAATGGTCGTAATCGCCCCATCTCCCAAATGTACCCGCGATCAACTTTACAGATATCGTCAGCACCAACTGGTCGCGGTAATCTCTAGGCGGAAACTCGATTTGTCGACCTTTGGAACACATACTGAACACTAGCAACAACTTCAGAACACTCGGGAAACTTCTACAACAGAACACTCGGGGGCACCCTATGAAAGGAAACGGTTGTGATACGTCTGGAGTATTCAAGTTAATGGTAGCTCCTTCTTCCCCAATCTTCAGATAATTGTCACCCTCACCTAATGGTTTTCTATTGGTTGACCATTTGGAATTGTTTACTTTAACGAACGCAGAGCCAGAGGGTGGGTGAAATGACGCTAATTACACACGCCTCCTTCTACAGAATCAGGTAAATTTCCGAAAACCACCGTAAGCTTCATGAAACAGTTACAATCCACAGTCATCACAGCTAGAAGTCGGTGCAGCAACACCTCAGTAAGTATCTAGGGGCAGAAATGTTGTCAAAGTAGACGATGATAGTGACCTTGGCGCTGCTTCCATCTAGGGACTAATTCCTTGAAATGTACTACTCCCAGCTAATTAAGCGTATCTCAGCAGGGTGAATGAACGCCCGGCAGTGGAACGTGTCTTGTTGATCAACTAAAACGTCACTATCTGGAAATCCGATCTTTTTCCAATAATCCGTATGTCCGCCCTCACTCAACATCCTCATTGGTTGTGCGGACGCATTAGCACAAAGATTGGTTGGATAGAATGAGACTTTAAGGGACCAATCAGGATGCTACGGCCTCTGCAACCCAGATGTTTTCGCCGTTCTTTTCATATCTCGACGTTATGCGGGTATTACCGAACAGCAGAACGGTAAGGCAACCCCGATAATCGCTACGGATGGACCCATAATCTGAATTTAATTATCCAGCAAATCATCCAGCTTATAACTTAGCCAAAAGTTAAACCCGACGTCACGTCAAGCGTGGGTCCTAGACTAAGAACGAGGGCTTTCATAACTGGTGGTCTTGACTCTATCACTCGGCCCCTCGACAACTGGTAACGATGCCCTTGAAATGAGGACACGAATTCGAGTACACAATCGCGATGGTTATAGGGGACATTGATAGTCACCACAGAACACCTAGACGACAACCTCAGCCAGGCGTCTACAATGCAGTTTTAAAGAGTAGTGGGCCGAAAACCGTAATAGGAAGTGACAAGGCAAGCCCGAGACAGTATCGATTTCAGATAACCTATCTGCTAACCCCCTGCACCAGACAAAAATGCTGCCTGCGAGGCATAAAATGAACACAATTCGTTTTGTATGCTTAAGATCAAGAATTAAAATCACAAGGCACGAAATAAGGACACAACAGTAAGTAGTGGGGCAGATGCAAGTGTGCCAGCATAATAATTTATGATTTCAATTAACACCTACCTCGACCACTCGAATTAGACGGCAGAGTGCAAATCGCGATGACGAAATCCACACGAAACACAAGGGCGTGGTTTTATTGCGCAACAGCAAAAGTCAAACTGATTACGTGCACAAAAGGTTGGTTAATTTGCCAATTTTTAGATCGAGTTCAGAGCCAAGCGCGTAGTTTGTAAGTTGAAACGCAGCAGGGGCGGAATTGTGGGGCAAGTGAGAGCTCAAACCGCATTACGATACATCTAGAGCAAAACTCGTTCTAAAGGCGTGGATTAAATGCGAATTGAAGCCGTTTTGCCAAATTCATACTTGGTGGCCAGCGTTGGTATTTGGCATACAAATAAATGCACATGTTAGTGGGTTCGATGGAGTTAATGTTTTTACAAAAACTGGCTTTGACTAAGTCGCACACTGTGAGGTATCCAAGCAACGACAATTTACCTGCTTGTACCGATTTTGAACGAAATTCCGGATGACCTATTAACGATTTTTTGAATCAATAAGAATGTAAAAATTTATAGAGGCGCTCGCTGATATTCCACGAGCTAAGAGTCACGTAAACACGTCTAAATTGATTGATTTTTTAACCAGAATTTACCGTTTCGGGACTTTAGCCATACTCCACAATAATGATGCCATCTTGAAATATTAACCACCTACTTGTATGAATAAAAATCGATAAATGACCACATGAAACGTTTGATGTCAAAACAAATCCAACACACGCGGACACTTGATCATTTGATGTGGAGTGATGTGACTTCAACACAGCATAACGCACAGTTGCGAAGCAAATAGCGCCTTGTAAGTAACTCACCCTCGGCCTGCTAACGCCGGGCAAATTGGGCTTGTCCGATTTTCGGTGACTTTCTGACATTTCGTGCAACGGACCTTGAAAAGACTACCTAAAATGGGAGCAATGTTGTAGGTTCAGACTCGATAAAAGAATCGCTACTTACAAAACACCAAGACCTATATGACAGTCGCGAACGGTATTGGGATGAAATTCCTTATGCAAATGAATTTGGGGTAGAATTAGCTAAATACGCGCCAACGTCCCGTTTGCTCTTAAATTTCAGCAAATAAAACACTCTTCATGTGGTTGCACAAATAACCATCACAAAACCCAACGCAATTCGGAGACGTTTCATGTAACTAAACATGGGGTTTGAGTGAATACGTCAAGCAGACGGAAGCCACATGATGTCCAATTTGCAATAATTATGGAAAAAAGCAAGAATGCGAGTCGACGACATAAAGTACAGTGTTCCAAAAAATCCGGGCATGGACAAATTAGGAGGTCGGACAAATTCAAGCGTCACAACTGAACAGCAATGGTAAACGTACCGTGCAATTCAATAACATTCTTGCTCCCAGCAACCGCATGCAAGCCATCCACATTTTGTGTGGCTAAGGTAAACGATCTTTTTGCATCAGTGAACAACTTTTCTAGGTCCTTAATGGCATAATGACCGGCATTTGGCGACTTCGAGGCCACTAACTCACGGCGATAATGATAAAACTCCCACACGAGGCTAGGATTATTTCCAAACGCTTCAGGCGTTGCCAAATCCTTCAGAGAAAGCCAGCATTAGTAAAGTTGGTAGACGAATTTACAGTGGCTGCGTACTTCCTCCATAATCCACCTGCTCCCCGAAATGTTGGAATCCGGCTCTCAGCACTTATACCAGCCCCAGTAATTACAAACACCTTGAAGGTTTTACTATCTCAATGAGTCCTACGTTTCGTGCTCGTGATAGAACCTTTCGAAACGCGACAAAATCGGCAGAGGCCATAACGACGACCAGAACAACTATTGTGAATTGTGGTGTAGTGTAGTGTCGCTGTGGTGTGGTGTGATGTGGCGTCGGATTGGGGCGCAGACATGTTGGACCATCTGGACTCGGCCAATCCTGTGTCTTTCTGCGTTCCAATGGCATGCGGGAAAGGAAGGCAGCCAACCAGAGAAGGACATGGATGAGATGCAGTATATAATGAGCGG